GGGCCAAGGACACACTGAGCCCTCCTCCCTTCGCACTGGACTTAGCCCCAAGACACAGGGCCTGGAGAAGGTGGACAGTGTTACCACTGGCCCCAACTAAGCAACAGTGCAGACTGCTTCTTGTTTCATGCTGTCCTGTGGCCCATATAACTAACACATGCTAGAGCTATTTCCTGCCTTACTGAGTAGAATATATTGAATAAAAGCATGTCATCTGATGATTCAAGACATCACAGGGTCTCCGTGTTTGAAAATATCCTGTTTCATCCATGCACTGGATACAGCACCAGCTCCAACGGCAGTCCCGTGGGCCAGGCAGTCTGGTCAACCCCAGAGCGGGGAGGACCTGAGTTCCTGAACGCACTTAGCTTGCATGTTCCAAATGCAGGACTAGTCTGCCCGTTCACAAATGAGTTGCTTCTGTCCTGTTTTCCCTTGAAACACTGGCCTTTACAGCCTAACACTGCTTTTCCCACTGTTGAAAGAGATGTGAGTGCAAGAAATATTTCATCGGTCTTTTCACGATGAATGGAAATCCAAAAGCAATTCAGTTGATGAGTGAGCCCAGCCAGTGGTGCCCACACTATCCCATCATTACACTAGTAACAGCCCGTGTCTACCAAGCACTTTCTATATGTCAGGCACCGTGTTAAGCCCTTGACATGCAACATTTCCTTTCATCGTCCTAACCTCCCTATGAGATAGGCACTGAGACTGTGCCGTTTCTCAGGTGGACAAGCGGAGAGTCCGAAAGCTAAAGCAGCCTTTGCTGAGCCGGTGGTGCATACAGTCTATAGCCAGGCTGCATCCGAGGCCTACACAGGCTGGTGGCCAGCAAGTGTTCACCCCCTAAAAGAAGTCTGGTCCCCCAGGCAGAGCGGGGCAGCGGCATGGGGAGGCTATATCAAATCACAAACAGCTCGGAGTAGCCACAGCGAGCAGGCTCTGCCCTTGGCTACCCCAAGTTTTCAGAGCCATCAGAAGCTTTGGGGGCACTCCCGCCTTTGGAGAAGGCTCCTAAGTTTGCTCACCTTTCCTGGGATGGAAGAAGTTGTGGTTTAGGAAGCTACAGATGGAGTGGCAGATGGGAAGTGAAGGCCTATCAGAGTTGCCCAGGATAAAACCATTCATCTGCAAAATTCATATGTTTTTGTGTGGGGCGACTTTGTGAAAACAACAGCAAGAGGAAGCAGCAGTGCCTGATGCATGACGTGCCTCTGGCCACCAGGCTGGCAAAGCACAGTGGACAGAAGAATCAGATTGAGAAAATGGGTGGGTGGGCACTGAAATGAGAGCAGAGAAAGACAGAGCGACAGAGACGCAGAGACCCAGAGCGTGAAGCTAATAAGCTAGAAATATGATGACTCTTCCCCAAACCCCGAAATAGGTGGGGCACATGGTCTAAGGAAGGATTTCTGGACCCCTCAGATATGAGGCTCAGCCTTACAATGAAACTGACTGTGGACACTGACTGGGTACTTTCTAAGTGCCAACACTCTGCTGGTTGCATTGCTACAAGCTGATCTCACAAAGATTGAGTTTACCTCTGATGGTTTTAGTTCTGCCAGTGAAGTGGCAGAACTCAGACTCTAACCTTGGCCATCTGCTGAGAGTCGGAGCACTCCTCCTCTTGGATGCTGAAATGCTAGAAATTCCGATATCCGGGCAGAGCAGACTTGGTTAAGGGGTCATGGTTGGTTATGGCTTCAACTTGCCAGTCAACACAAAGCCTCGAGGGGGCAGCCTCAAGACCTGGCACGAGTCTCCTGGGAAGGGCCAGGGGCCTGGGCACACCTAACTGATCTCAAGAGGTCTCTGGCAGAGTTCCGCCGCCTGACCTAGGCTGAAATGACCTCTGGGGCCTCCACGGGAGGCCTGGAAGAAAGTGGGGGAATCTTGATCTTAGCTAGTCAGACTCGGGACAATAGGAGACCTTTGCTCATGAGATTTCCTGCTGCCAGGTGGTGCAATCACATCCCTGCCCAGCCTGGAGCTTGAGGAGTGGCTGTGCTCTCTAGGCAGCCTGGGGCCATCCCGCCACTCTGGGCCAGCTGACTTCCCCAGGGACCAACCTCAAGCAGAAAGAATAACAACCTTAGAGCCAGACAGAACTGGTTCTAATCCCCAGCCTGCCAGTATTCTTTACATGACCTTGGGCCTCAGCTTGCCCTTCAATAAAACAGGTTTGCTTTGAGGGCTGACGGAAGCACCTCCCACATCAGCTGCTCCACAACAGCAGGTTAGGGTATTTCTGAGCTCAGTCTTCCTTGGAAGATGGAGGGGAATGTTCTAACTCACCCTGCCCTGTCCCTCTCTAACTCACCTCTCCTCATTCTTCTATTGCACTCTGTTTAAATTTCTCTAATGCATCTAGTTCACCTCTGACCCAAGTCTTATCCAGGCTGTCCTTTCTCTCAGGAACTGGAGAATGATTCTGCCCCTGGGGAACCAGCACCTGGAGATGTCTGTGGATGTCCCAGTGCCTGGGGGTGGGGAGCACTACAGCATCTGGTAGGTGGGGCCAGGGATGCTGCTTAACACCCTACAGTGCCCAGGACAGCCCCTCAGCATGGAAGGCTCCGGCCTGTTACGTTAATAGTGCCTCGGTTGGGAAATCCTAGTCTAGAATGATCTTTCCTTCTCATTTGTTTGCCAATCTTTTTTTTTTTTTTTTAATGCTCACCTGAGGATATGTTTATTGATTTTGGAGAGAGAGGAAGGGAGAAAGAGCGCAAGAGAGAAACATCAATGGGTTGCCTCCTGCATTCGCCCCAACCAGGAATCGAACCTGAAGGCCTTTGGTATACGGGACAATGCTCTAACCAACCGCGCCACTTGGTCAGGGCTGACGATCCCTCCTTATCCCCAGGTCTCAACTCAAAACTGCACATTCCGAGGCCTTTCTGACATCCTGATTTTGCCCCTCTTGCGCTCAGACCATCTGCTGCTTCCTCTTGATAGCCCTGTCACACCTTGCATGACGCCGCTCTTACATGATTAGCTAATTCCTTCTAGGGTACCACCAGGCAGGGGCTGTGCGGCTTTTATTCACTAAATACCTAAATAATGCCTTGCATGGTAGTTGCTTAATAAATCTTTGTGGAATGAATGCTTGAATAAATAAGAAATTAGGAAAAACCTGCCAGTGATGTTTTAAAATCACCTCCTTTTTTTTTTTTTTTAATTCTGCTATCCTACAAACAAAATAACCCCCATTATTCTTCCCAGGTTCAAGGGTGTCAGGTGCATTTTGCCTAAACTGAGCAAAGACTGTGCCTTCCCCAGGTCGCCTTCAGAGTCCAGTGTCCCCTGGCAGACCATGGGATGCCACCAAGCCCAGAACTGAAGGAAGGACACTTTAAATAGAGGCCTTCCTTCCATGCCTGTGTCTCATCTAGATCCTCACTCAAAACTCAAACTCCTGGGCATATGTGGCCTCGATATTTAATGACTTAGGAATGACTGTTTAATATTTTAGATGTGATAATCATATTGATGTTATGTTCAAAGAGAGATGTATACTGAAATATTTACAGATACGATTTGATGATGCTTTGGAAATGGTTCACGGGGCGCGGGGCAGGTGGGGGGAGAGACATGAGCACAGACATTACCAGACTGTCACGAATTGATTATAGTTGAAACTGGGTGATGGATAAGTAGGGGTTCATTATATTAGTCTCGGCACTCTTGTGGACGTTTGAAAATTGCCCTGATAAAAGTGTGTGTGAGTTCTTTAAAGATCCCTTCATTTCTGGGACTGCTGTTCAGTGCCCTCATGGCATCCGAGGGAGGAAGGCCCTCTGCTTCACACACTGTCCCCCTCCCTGTCCACTCACTTCTGCCTCTCAGCCTCCTCAATAAATCAGGATGGAAGACACGGCCGAGCAAAGAGCTGCCGTCTGGATAGGAAATAGACCTCATTTTCTTGCCTTTCTCCTTTACAAGCTCTCTGGAGGGGTTTTCTTTGCTTATGGTCTATTTTACGGAGCAGATCACTGTTTGTGCACAGGGAACTCCCTTGTGGCATCTCCGCTACCTCGGGGCTCAAATGTGGGCTGCTCTATCTGCCCCAAGCAGGCTGCAGGCTGAGTGGGAAGACCCAGAGAAACTCCAACTCTGTAGTTTCACGTGAAATTTCCCAATTTAAAAATGTAGACAATCAATTTGTTTGTTAAAATTAGGTCGGGGCCAAAGAATAAAATCCAAGATACCCATGGTCCTTGAATAGCCCAAAGACACCCCCACGTCTGTGACTGAGCCTGAACTCTTGCACCAGACCTCCCTTCCTCCTCCCTGCCCCTCCTGCCCCTGTAACTCCGATGTCACTCCTTGTCTTCCTCTGCTCAGATCATACCAGCGGTTCCCTCTTGCTTGAGTGACAGCCAAATTCGGGAATCTCTAAAGTCTCGCCCCAAGTTGCTCCCTAATCTTCTGTCTCTTACTACCCTACCCCTCACTTAGTCTGTCCCAGCCACACTGAGCCCATTGTTCCTTCCACACACCAGGTGTGTTCCCGCCCCAGGGCTCAGCACTGCTGTTCCCTGTTCCTGGACCACTTTCCCTGCCCGAGCGACTCACTCCTCCTTCCTCGTCCATTCCTCTCGGTGAGGACCGTCCTGTCACGCTGGTTAAAATTCCAACACTCCCCTGCGTCCTCTCAGCTTTGTTTTCCCCATGCACCATTTGACTTATTTTGTTTGTTATTTGTCTCCCCGACTGGACTGAAAGCTCCATGTGGGGAAGGGTGACAGTCCCTTTAGTTTCCTCAAACAGAGCGGGAAAAACTGTGTGCTCAACAAACACATGTTGAATGAATGAATGAACGAGGGAATGTGCAAATAATTCTCAGGCCCAGGGTGGATCCCATGCTGAGGGATCTGTGAAGACAGCGCAGGGGCGTACACGCTGCTCTGCACAGGAGGCAAAACGCTAAGACCAGGGAGGGCGGGGGGGAGCGGGACCTGGGCGCAGGCTGCTGGGGCCGAGGGCCGCCTTACCGGATGGGGTAGTCGGCTGCACTGAGGTTGATGAAGAAGTCCCAGGGCCAGTCAGTCATCTCCAGCAGGTCCCGCATGCTCTGCAGGTACGTGGCCAGCAGGCTGGCGCCGCCCCAGATGGTGGCCATCCGCCAAGGGGTGACGCGGACATTGCTGTACTGCCGGGCGAACTGGAGCACTTGGCGGTGCAGGTAGTTGGAGCGCTTTTTCCCAGGAGAGAAAAGGGTGACATTCAGCAGCCCAGAAAACACCCCTCTCTGTCCCTTCCCTTCTAGGTGGCAGGGTTCCTGAACTTTGCCCAGTAGGTGGTTCAGGCTGGGGCATCTTTCTACATGGCTATTCGAACATTTATTATTGTTTAAATTTCACCTTAGCTATTTTAAATGCGGATTCCCTGGCCCCATCCTCTGACCTATGGTTTACTAGGAGCCTAGGGCTCTGCATTTTTATACAGACGGAGGCATGTGGTCTGAGGACAGCAAGCTGTGAAATACGGCTGTGTCGAAGCCTGAGGAGTATTGTGAGGAGTGGAATGTCTCCATCACCTTCTCACAGGCCTGCCAGAAGCAGATCCTTTGCCTCTTGAGTAAGGACATAATCATGTCACGTCCCAGGCTAAGAGGAAACCCCTGGGACAAGAGAGTTCAAGGGTCAGCAAGCCTGCTGTGGGGTTTTATAAATAAAGTTTTATTGGGACACAGCCACACACATTCATCATTCGTTTATGTATTGTTTATGGCTGCTTTCACACGACAACGGCGGAGCTGAGTAGCTGTGACAGAGAGGGTATGGCCTTCAAGCCTAAAATCTTTATATATGGCCCTTCATAGGGAAAGTGTGCCCACTCCTGGGATAGCTCCCCTCACAGAGAGGCAGGCAGTGTACTGGGCAGTGCGATGGTGAGGAAAAGAGGGAAGAAAACCAGTATTTATAGAGACTGTCACACTCACACTCCCCCGCCCCCCTCTCTCTAGGAGAGGTAGCTGCTCAGCCTATTAGCTTTCCCTAAAAGGGAGGCTGGCTTGAAGAGGGGCAGAGGGACCCACAGAGAAAGGCCAGCAGGAGGCGACTGGATGGGGGGCTCACCTTGTCCACGTGGATGTAGTAGAAGTGGTCTTTGTGGTAGATGGCCTTGAACATGCGCTGCAGCTGCCGGGAGGCACGGCCGTGCACCACCAGGACGAAAGCGATCCGGACCGGGTTGGCCAGCATATACTCCACGGAGTCCTCGTCCCACTGGACGTTCTTGTTGGCTTTGCCTGAGGAAAACCCAAAAGATCACAGAGGTGGGTGAGGGTCAGAAGTTCCTGTTGGGGGCAGGTTCTCTGATGCTTCATCTTGGGGACTGTTGGAGGGGCACCACAGTCACATTGGGCCCTGAAACCTGATTCAGCATAACCAAGCATGTTCTGGACCCTTATGCTCTCCTGGTGCAACAGGAGTGGGGGACCTTGAGGTGCTTAAGTCACAATTTCCATCCCCAAGAAGCTTCAAAGAGCTGATGGAGGCACAGGTACACATATTAAACTATTGAACAGGAGGAGATAAGAGGCATAAGAGGTGCATCTCTGAACCACTGAGGAGGAGAAGTTAACTCTGAGCTAGAAAACGTAAGATACCTGTGCTGCTTTTGCCCATTCAAATCTATTCTCCTGTTTCCTCCTAAAAGCATCCATTCAAAAAAATGGAGGTGAGAACAGATAACAGGAGATCTACCCTCTTAGCAAAGTTTTAAGAGCTCTGTATAGTCTTGTTGATTGCAAGCACGATGCTGTACAGAAGATCTTTAGAACTTCTTCCTCTTGCATAGCAAAAAATCTCATCCAGTATTTTGAGAGGCCTCACCCCACTCCTCCATTCTCAGTCCAAGTGGATGGGGGAGGACCTCCCTCCATTATCAAGGTCAGGGGCGTTCACAGAGCTTTGGCCTGGCCAGTTCAAACATTGCATCTCCCTGGCTATAGTCTGTATGATGCAGAGGTGAGCATGTGACCCAACCAAGCTAATCAGCCCCAAACACAGAATTCTACACTTTAGTTGAGACAACTAGATAAGAGATGTTAATTTTTTGGTGTACACACAACTGGGAGATTCTAAGAGCGCTTTTGTCCCCACATGGAGGTTGCCTGAGAGGGACCAACACAGAAGCAGCACTACCAACAGAGGGAGAGGGCTAGAGCCTAAGGACCCGCTGGAGCTCCTAGATCAGCCCCGTGGGAGATCAGCCACCGTCAGTCATATCCTAGTTTTCTTTGCAAGCCTGGATCCTACACCAGACCCACCTGGGTAAATGGTTCCATATATATATATTTTATCCCAGAAGCAGCTCAAAGAGGCTGTTTCCCCCTCCTTGTCCCTACAAACATACCAGGGACAAGGTTGTAAGGAGAAACACTGGCTCAGTTCATTACAATTCCAGCTAGAGTTCTCCCGGCTCTCTTCGGCCTGATTTCCTTTGAGTCTAATCTGATTTCTTGTGGGTTCGAGGTTAATGGGACCAGAACATTGTCAGGGTATTAGCTGCATGTGTCCCAGAATGTCAACTGGGAAAGCCGAGAACTGGGAGTGTGTAGCCTGGAGGTCAGGAGACCGGGGGCCTGTTCGCTGTCGCTGGAAAGCTGAATGGCTGCCAAATGAACAAGGCACCGTCTACCTTGTTCCAGGGGACAGGAAGAGATGGACATGGCTAATGTCTAAGTCGCATGGCCCAGCCTCCACACCTACATGATCTGCCTCCTGCAGGCCCGGTGCCTTGACTGGCCGGCCCTACTACTTACCTCGCCCCCGGGCCCTTTTCTATCTTTACTTGAGGTGTCTGCCTCAGCACCATTTCATGGGCTATTCTTGCTACTGGAACACCCTTGCCTTAGATCTTCATTTATTTATTTTATTTCATTTATTTTAAAGGGGAGAATGATGATTTTTATTATTTTTATTTTAATATATTTTATTGATTTTTTATAGAGAGGAAGGGAGAGGGATAGAGAGTTAGAAACATCGATGAGAGAGAAACATCAATCAGCTGCCTCCTGCACACTTCCTACTGCAACCAAGGTATATGCTCTTGACCGGAATCGAACCTGGGACCCTTCAGTCCTTAGGCTGACCCTCTATCTGCTGAGCCGAACTGGTTAGGGCTCCCTTAGATCTTTACATGGCTGCATCTTCCTGTCCTCAGCGCACCGATCAATAAAAAGCCACCTCACCCCACCCCCAGCCACATTATTCTTTCACGGCATCCTATTTCAATTTTCTGCATAGCATTTAACACTGTCTGAAATCATTTATTCGTTTACTTGTTTATTATTTAAATATTCCACTAGAACATGAACTCCAAGAGATGAGGGACTATTTAGTCTTGTTTGTCAGTAAATATACAACACTATAGCACACCGCGCTCTTGGTGGAAAAAAGGTTACAGGAGGTACATGTGGTTCAGTGCCTTAGTAATAGCAATAGAGTTTACTGAGCACTGATCAGCCCTGGCCATTCGTTATTTCATGTAATCCTCATAACAAGCCTGAAAGATGATATTATTTCCATTTTGCAAATGTGGAAACCACAGCTTAGAGAGGCCAAGGGATTTATTTGTTCAAGGTCACACTGCTTTAATTAGCTCAGCTGAGATTCAAACCCAGGTCTGTTTTTAAAGCGTATGCCCTTACCCACGAATATACACGACATTACCACACCCAGAATGTGGGAAAGTTTACAATTCTGCTTGCTAGTTAATGAAAATACCTTTGAGTTACTGCAGGTAAATAGGCGTTTGAGGACTATCAGAGGCACTGCAGGGAGGATTGCTGTATCGTGTGAAAAGCTGACTCTAGTCATCATTACGGACACATGTTTTCATCCATCCATCCATCCATCCATCCACCCACCCACCAACCCATCCATCCATTCAGTCACCTATCCATCCATCCAAATCTAACCAATCACCCAGAAACCATTCAACAACCCATCTAGCAAAGCATTCAACAGCTTATTATAAAAAAATGCCAACCATCTATCCATTCATCCGACCACCCATCACCTTTAAAACCAATCATCCATCCATCCATCCATCCACTCATCCAGCATGCTCAAAGCAAATCATCCATGAATCTACTCTTCAACCATCTTAACTATCAACTCGTTGATCCATGCCATTTTAACTTAGCCTATACCACATGCCAAGGTCTGTGCTAGGTACTAGAAAAAGAAACTTTTCTTGGGGGGGAGGGGAATCCTTGCTTTTGAGGTGCTCTAAGCCAACTTGGGAAAACAGAAAACAATGCTCAACTGTTTTATGATAGAAGTGTGTTCGGACTGCTCTTGGAGGGAAGAAGTGAACAGTCTGTCTGCAGGGACAGAGGAGACCTCAGAGAGTTTAGTCCAAAGCTTCGGAGCCCATTTCTTCACACTCTCCGGATGAGTCCTAAGGTCTCATGATCCTGAGGATAATTATCCTTGTGGCTCTGGCTGAAGACAGAATGGGCAGCAACTAGGGGTGGGGGGTGGGGGGTGGGGAGGTGTCCTCACCACCCTCTAATCTTCTCTCCAAGGCAATCACAAGATGCAGGGCTTTTGTGGTGATCATTGGGGGGTGGGGGTTGAGGGGGAAAGTCTGCCTGGAGGGATCATGTGCCTTTCCAGCGGTTCTCAACCTGTGGGTTGTGACCCCTTTGGTGGTCGAATGACCCTCTCACAGGGGTCGCCTAAGACCATCCTGCATATCAGATATTTACATTACGATTCATAACAGTAGCAACATGACAGTTATGAAGTAGCAACGAAAATAATTTTATGGTTGGGTCACAACATGAGGAACTATATTTAAAGCGCCAGAAGGTTGAGAACCACTGCTTTAAACACTCATACAACAATTCATCCATCCATCCAATCAACCATGAAGTAGCCTTAAAACCTCCCATCTGCCAGCCCTGGACAAGGCCTGGAGAACAAAGACATGTAGAACATGAGCCTGCTTTCACACATGTATATGAATGGATTAAGGAATGTGAGAATCCAAAGTGAAAAGATAACATATGAGAAAAGCTTATACTCTCTCCCCAAGACCGCAGCCCAAAGGCCGTGTACTGGCCTTGGCCACACTGGGCGTGACCTCTCCTTGCCTCCCTTGAGGACTCTATCAAACCAAGGAAGGGACACTTAAAAGCAACAGCTACTTGTGCCACTCTTTTCCACCTGGATTTCACTGGGTGATTTTTCAAAGGTCTCACCATGGTCCACGACACTGTATTTCACAAAAAGTGCACTCTGCAGGGGCTCATGCTGTACTTAGATGACACCGCTCATCCCTGCCCCAGCGTCTCTGGGTAACAATGAATCTGGAGTTCTCAGCAACTGAGACTCATAGGGCTCTGGGATCAGCCTGTGTTCTCTCCAACTACAATGTCTCTTCCCATGACTAGTTTTTTCTTTTTTCAGAGAGAGGAAGGGAGAGGGAGAGAGGGATAGAAACATCAGTGATGAGAGAGAATCATTGATCAGCTGCCTCCTGCATGCCCCACATTAGAATTGAGCCTGCAACCTGGGTATGTGCCCTGACCAGGAATTGATCCATGACTTCCTGGTTCATGGGTCGATGCTCAACCACTGAGCCACACTGGCTAGACTCTTGCCATGCTTGTTGAGTGAGCAAATGAACGAGTGGGGAGATGAATGCATCCTGGGGAAGAGTGGCTGCTCTGGTCCAGAGGGGCTGACCTCGCCTGTGGGCCTGCTGTGCTCCAGCCTGGGCCAGAGGCTCTGCGTCAGTTGCTACTTGGCTTTGGATGGAAGGCACTGCCATGTTCTCAGGCTCAGAGAGGTTGGAGCTTTTGTTCCGGTCACACAGTGAGGGAGGCCAGAGGTGGGAGTGAACGCTGGGCGTGGCTGAGCCCAGCGCTGGCCTTGCTACCTCCAGCCTCCCCTCTCCTGAAGCAAAGGGCAGGGAGATGGGAGGACCGGTGTGCAGATCCCATGCTGGTCTTTAGAGGAACTTGCATGTTGATGTTGAGGAGAGCCTTTTGTACTGTCTCTTTAGGGTTTTAGAATGTGGGGGAGGTGCACAGATGGACAGACACAGACAAGGATGCTTCCCTCTGGAGGGGGAGGGAGCCCTGGGAAATCCAACACTCCCACTCAGCCTCCTCCATTTAAATACAGTCCCCGTGGACCAGACAGCTAGCCTGGGGAGCAGCAAAGACAAGAGGGAATAACACCCATAGTTCTTCTGGAGGACAGCTATTTTGGGGAAGGAGCAAAAATATCC